TGGTATATTAGCTATTGGTACATAAACAAATGGCCCGCATAAAGGCAACAAAACATGTATTCTTTCATCATTTCTGTGGGTCAGGAATCCTGGGAGGAGCTTAGCTGAGTGTTCTTGGTGGCCTCTCATGAGGTCCTCATCCAAGGTCACTTGTGATTGTGAAGCAGCTGGCTTCATTCCTTGCCATGGGGCTCTCGAGGCAGCCATGCCTCTCAACATGGAAGCTGGCTTCCACCATTGATCTCTCAGTCACACACTGTTGCTCCCACCTTTCTGTTCTGCAGATTGCAAGTCCGGCTATCGTCAGCTGAACTGCCTAAAAAAAAAAAACTAAAACTAAATTGGGGCTAGACTTCAATGGTCTATAAATGTCTATTCCTTACAAGGTTTTTTTTTTTTTTTTCTCCTTGCTTGGCTATTAATTGTTTTAAAATGCATATTTTGGGTCCACACAATTTTCCTGAATAGTGCTTTCCTCTAAATCTGCAGGTTATGTTGTATAGAGTCCTTATTGTCACTTTTAGACTTCAAGATTATTTTTTACTTGTTAGGAGTATTGAATATTTTAATTTCTAAGTGGTTAGGTTTTAACTTCAAGTTTTATCATATTGTAGCAAAGAATGTTGTTTATGCTGTTTGGCAGTCACTATTGATTTAAAAAATTTTTAACCTGTGATTTTGTTAATTGTTTTTATATGTTTTAAATTACAGTAGAACAGATCAAATACCACTATTCCTAAAAATTTTTTTGAAATCAGTGTTCTGTTTAATGTTTTTGTTCTTGTTTTTATTTTTACTTGTGCATATTTTTTATTCTTTATTTTTTATTTTTATATTTGCAATTCTAGTTTTACTTACCATGATGAGTTGTATTGGCTTTATACTTTCTTCTTTCTTTATGGCTTTTTATAGGAAAATAGGTTTTTTATGTTTTTGTAACTAGACTTCTTTTCTTTCAGATCCAGGTTCAGTGCTCTCCCAAGGAGACTGGGTACGATTATATCCCCTGGCCGATATGACCAAGTCTCATTCTGTTTCATGGACTCCTGGTTGATGCACCATCATCTTCACTCTTCCCTGGTTCCATGTGCTCCAAGCCTGAAGAGCCAGCAAAGTGCGGTTATGGCAAAGTCAGTTTGAGTAACTCAGCAATGGAATGTACTTACAAGAAACTCAAGGTTACTTCAGTATTAGAAAGTCAGTCTGTCAAATTGTGATTAAGCACTTTATATAATACTACTTTCTTAAGTATGTTAAGCTTTATTTATGCCTTTGAAAATAAATGGAAAACTTTTTTGAAAAACCTGAATATATCAGTATTTCTTTTTGGACGTATTCAAATTCACTGTATTTATTCCAAAGATACACAGAAAAAAAAAAAGTACTCAGGGTAGTTGGGTAAAGGTAATATTGAAAGACTGTCTTCCCTGGTGATCCAAGCTTAGGAAACAAAGGCTAGCTGAAGCTGAGTATTGGGAGACTCGACTGGCCAGTCAAGAACCAAGGCAGTCAGTATTCTCTTTCTTTTTTGTTTTGGGTGGCTGTTGGGGTTTTTGTTTTTGTTTTGTTTTTGCCATACTGGGGCTCGAATTCAGGGCCTACACCTTGAGCCACTCTACCAGCCCTTTTTATGTGATTTTTTTTGTTTTGAGATAGGGGCTAACAAACTACTGCCTGGACTGGCTTTGAACTTTGATCCTCCTGAATCTCTGCTCCTTAGTAGCTAGGATTACAGGCATGAGCACCACACCCAGCCTCAGCTTCCTGATTACTGGGTTTGCAGACATCGCCATCACACCAGCCTAAGTTCTATGTCTCAGAAGCTATGTTATTATTTTCTTTGCACCTTCCCTTGTCTATCGTCTTTTTCTCCTGCTTCTCTAGCTCATGGCTTCCTTTTTCATCCTCATCGTGTTATACTGCCTAACCCAGTTGCCCAGCTGTTCTCCCACCTCATGGTCTTGCCAGTCGTGCACTTCATCACCCTGAAGTATTGTTCTAGTTTAGTCTAAGGATTGATGTCTGTGCA